CTCTCCTCATCCGCTCATCATTCCTTTCACTCTCCTCATCATCTTCTCGTCTCTTTTGCTCTCTTCATCATCTTATCATTCCCTTCACTCTCCTCATCCTCTCATCTTCCCCTGCACTCTCCTCATCCTCTCATTGTTCACTTCTCTCACCTCATCCTCACCTTTACAACCTACAGTGTCAAGGCCTTGGGGGAAGAAATTTCCTAAACGTCATTTAATAATCCATGTCCTTCATCACAATGTCTTGTGCCAGGGTCTGAGCACTGAAAATAATTAATTCAATAAAAGTACTTATACTTTCTCTTTGCGTCTGTCTGAGTGGAAATTGTAGTTGCAGTTTACTTCTAGTTGAGTGTTTCTGTGTTTGAAGGCACAGGACTGGTACAGATTAATATGATCTATTTTTTCCCTCATGGCTGCTGGTATTATATCAACGAGAGTTAAAAATATGTTGGTAGTTAGCTGTGTTTTTGGGTTCACTGTAATTTGGATGACAAATGCAAAAGTGCTGTGGAATTATCTGGCTGAGGACACAGGAGGAGCAGCGGGGCAAAACAAGCGTGAGTCATCGTTAACTGTGAACAATCATGTATATTACAATGGCCCTGAATAGGCGGGTGTCACGTTCAAATAAAGTACATTGTGTAGTATGTGGGTGCTTCTGTCAACCTTTCATATCGCTGTGGCCTTTTATCTCCCACCCACAGAAAAAGCTATGAGGGAATTAACTACTTTTACTTGTGACCAGAAGTGTATTTAGAATTATTAAATATATATAACAACTGCCTGTGTGGACACAAAGCATACAAATAAAATGCAATTGAATAATATATAATTATATAGTGATAACAGATTTATATATATATACATTATTTATATAGTGGGTCATATAACAGGGCAGATAAAATATTTAAGATTCTTATAGTCAGACCTGCATTATTGTGACATGTATTCACCTCAGAAGTGGCACATGATGTTGCTGTGATGTGTATGGTCGTTTTGGTTTTGGTTAGCTGACCAGACATGTCACATGTCACAAACATCACATGACACATCTGAGGAAGGCAGAGAAGCTAATACTAGTTTTAAAACCAAGAGATATGAAAGAACCTAACTGGACTCCCTTATTCTCATACACATTGCAGGAGGTGGAGAGCTGAGTAAATTTACTTTGATATTAAATGCACAAATCTATAGCAATAATAATAAAACAATGCTTTATACTTTACTAGCTTTCCTCAAAGTGCTACACTGTAGTCATTATTCATTCACACCATACTGGGTCGTAGTAAACTACTATAGTGGCCATAGGTGCCCTTAGACAGACTAACGGAAGCGAGGCTGACAGTCTGTACTACTGGACTCTCTGACGACCGCCAATCATCTGCGCACACACTTTCATACTAGTGTCTTGCCTAAAGACACAACAGAACTTGGTCTGAGCAGGAAACAACAAGAAAAATTTTTTCAGCTTGAGAATATTTTGATGTAGCAGTACATGACATGAGAGTTAAGCTTATACCTAATTCTCTGTGGCATTCTGTCCCTGTCTTTTTGAACATTGACTGTTCCTTACTGCCATGCTTTAGCCTTTTGGAGACGGATGTGCACTCTAACCTGATGATCCATGCTCTGATTCCCAAAGGCTAAGTGCAGCGTGTCTGTGAAAGAAGAGGGTCTGCCGACATAAACAGCTGGCTTCTTCCAGTGGGCTGTCCACATCCGCCTGTGTGTCTGCTATATTTAAAGTACACATGAAACACTGCACTTACTAAATCAAGCTCCATTAAAGGCCCTTATTACACTATGTTCTGATCTGTTATAATGGCTTTTCCTCATCAGAAAGATACCTGGATTTGTGTTTAGTTTCATTCACACATTTTGACACACAAACCCTGCATATTTAGAGAGTTCTTTCTCAACAGAAAGCACTCTGTCCCACTTTGTGATTTCATGTGCTAATACAGGAAGTGCTCCACTGTGTTTTCAAACTCCATACACCTTCACTAGTATCATTTGCATAATTTCAGACGTGCAATTGCCAAACTAATGATGAAAGGTAGCTGTTAACTTAAAACTACTGCTTCGTTCCATCACAACGTGGAACAAATTTTGATCTTTTCTGCACAACTCCAAGTATCTTTAGGTGATTAACTACATTTTGTCAGAATTTTGATGGGGATTAACTTTGAACTAAAACAAGATTTAAGCTGATCTACATCAATAAGTGTGAATGTATCAAAGGTCCTATATTACAAAATATTGAATGAAACAAAACACAAGTTCAGGTATGTTTCTGATGAGGAAACAGCATTATAACAGATTTTTTGTTGTTGTTGTGTAATAGGGACCCTTTGAGATATGTTGTTTACCCAGAAAAACACGCGAATGGACTCTCTTTGGTGGAGCTACTAAACTGTTATGATCTGCCTCAGTTCGTAGGAGTGTGAATCGTATTGTCAGACGTGAATTGTGAAGAGTATGAAACTTGGAGTGACTCACCTGCTCTCCCAAAAACAAACACATTACTACCACAGGAGCACCTCGTCCCTTCTCTGCCAATGAATAATTTATATGTGGAATTTCATGTTTCTTTTAAATGAGAAAGTGGTTTCTTTTAGCAGAGTGGTATGCGTTATAGTTGAATTTATTCTTTTTTTTTTTTTTTTTATGTGTGAATGTTTGACCGTGTGTTGCCATGTAATTTTGGATTCATTATTGTTTTACCAGTTCACCATCTTGGCCTCCACTTTTGACTGCCTTATCAGCCCTATTAAATATTTACACAATTTGTACTTCTAGGCTTGAAGAAAACATGGTGGAGTCATGAATCTTACATGAACAAGGCACAGTCAAACTCCTCATAATTTGGCTGTTTATTATTATTCTGAATATGCAGGTGCAAAATGTGGGTGTAAATGACTGTATAATGTATGCAAGTTGCTGTTGACACAATGTAGAATATCTCTCCAGGTAAAATATGCTAATAAAGTTTGAGAGTTCTGGTTAATCTCCTTGTTGTTAAAACTTCCCTTATAGCTAAAGTCAGGAGCATGAATATTTCACCATCATGTTTCTTAAGGGACACAATATATAACTTTTGTTATAAATACATAATTATACATAATTAGTATGTTTCTTAGATTCATAATTGTAAAATATGATTATGAAAAGTATAGTTGAATTCAAACAAACCGGATGTCAGTGATGAAGTGCACTATGTAACTTTTCTGGAGAAGGGTCAGCTATCTGCTTGTTTCCATGGAGATGTTAGTGCCTGCAATCTGCAATGTTCCACATGGCATTAAATGTATCTCACTTGTCTCTATCGAGTGGTATGGCACCATGCCAAGTTACAGGTCAGGTAAGTGGAGATGTGTGGTGTTTTTTTTTTTTTTTTTTTTTTTTGCAACAGAAACATCTGTAAGTGAATAAATGCAAGAAATATATATATATATATATTTAATGCCATACCATGCACCATCTCCATAGAGACAAGAAAATGCCAAATCACACAACAGAGATGTTACACAGTGCACCTTCAAACTAAGCGGATATTGATAGAGATTATGGGGAATTAATGACAAACTATAATTTTCTGCATAGAAGCCTCAAATTGCTTTTTAGGGAGGTTTGATGATCCTCATTGCTTTCTTGTGCGTTATACAGATTTGTTTACAGCACAAATAAAACTAATTTCAGACAGTAATTAACATTTGAATACTTCATCATCCATTCAGACAAGTTGCCTACTTACTTCTGTTATTGATAGTGTTGTGCTTTGAGTTGTGCTGGGTGAATATTGACTATAGCTAAAAGGCAGCGGCTAATTAACACTGAGTCTACAAGTGGAGCTGGAAATACAGTGGCATTGACACCAGCAAACACAGACACACAACATACATCACATCTTCAAGGTACTTTTCTTTCACAGATATGATGTGTCAGCTTCCTGTTATGAAATACATTTAACCCTGAGAGTGTCCTTGATTGATTCTCAAAATATTACACTTCTGAATGAATATGTTCGGGTCAGTTACTTTCAATTATGCAAGACAGAGGTTGGTGCAGAGCAAAACAGTCAAGACCCCATGATCCAGTTAGTGTTTTAATGTTACCTACTATAAATAAGGGTTTAGATCACGTGTATATAAGAGCTTTATGAAAGAGTCCTAGATCCAAAGAATGAAAACAACCCTAAATTATTTTTTTAAAAGCTGGTAATATGCTATTTTAACCATGTATCTAAAATATAAAATGCAATTTTATTTGACAAGTATCAATTACTTAATACTTGCTGCATGATGTTCTCTTCTAGATCATTGTCTTAACTTTTTTAACTGACCCATATAGTCATTTGAGTATATTTTCAAGTTTAAGCAATAATTTTAGAACAATTACTGCAGTATTATGTAATCATAATTATTTTGGCCATGAAAATTGTGATGCACAATTTTTATATTGTCCATTGCCATTTTTAGACATGTATATATATCTTTGTTTTATCTCAACACATTTTTGCAATAAATACACTATTAATAATTTTTGATACTAGACCTTCATCTGAGACATGATGTTGGACTTTAATTAATCTTGTACAGTAGCTACAGAGCAATGTCCCGAGTTTACTGGCCTGTATTGTCCGGTGGGATCTCTCCTCTGTGTATTTACATGAGCAGTTGACATGCACACACACTCTCCCACACGCGGGCCCTCGTTCTCACAGCCTTACACTTTGGTAAACGTGCCGAGAATCACTGCACTGAACAGCAAACAAACGTAACAGCCTTCGAATCAGTCATTTCCCGAAAGATTAATTTAGCTTCCTTAGAGAGCCTCGCACAAATGAAAAGGGATGAACCAGCAAACTCCAGCCCCCACAAGGAAAATGGCCACTTCGTCTCTATCCCATACTATATCTACCCCGTTAATAATGTCACTTTTCTCATTCAGGAATAAAACAAAACAAATTATTGAAACAGAGAGACCAGTCCATCGAGTTCTGGTTTGACAGGCTCCACTCTTTACTGTGCGACACATAGTTTGGTAACACAAAACAGCAAATGAACCGTTAACACTGCCTTAGATTATTATGAAGTTATGTATTTGAGTTATAATGGCTTGACTCACACATTTGAAATAAAAAGCTTATAATTTTGGGGGCACAAAAGCCCTATTTATAAGGTTATCACTGCATGTATGTCTGGCCAAGTGAAGGTTACAATCACTATGTCATGTTTGTTTGGCATAAAAGATACTTAATATTATACTTAACTTGCTTTGCTTGGAGAGTCAAAACCATCAAAACCCACATTCAACTGTCACTTCATATGGCACTGAACTATATCAATGACAACAAAAATAAACCTACAATACATATATTTACACTTTCAGTTGTAAAAAAATAAAAAAAAAATTGTATTTGCATTAAAGACATTCTCTGTGGTGTTTCTGCAGTGGTTTGTGAAAAGTGAATGTCCATGCGTTTCCTTTACACTTTATATACAATAATGTAGTCCAATAGAGTCCAATAAGCTTTTAGGCATATCTTCTGGAGTCTCTCTTACAGAGTATCTTTTTAAAGGCCCTCCTGAAGTCATTGTTGAAGATAGTATAGATGATTGGATTGAGTGCACTATTGCAATAGCCAAACCAAAAAAAGAATTTGAACAGAGTCAGTGGCACATAGCAAGATACGCATATTGTCTTGAGCATGTAGGTGAAGAAAAACGGAAACCAGCAGATGACAAAAACCCCTATCACTACTGCCAGGACAAAAGTGAAACGCTTCTCACGGTTCTGTCGGCCTTTCCACCTGCTCCCCTTTGTGCTCTGGACACGTTTGGGCACCTCATTGTCTCCTGGTTTGATTTGGCACAGCTTGGTTTTACCTTTGTGGCTCTTCTTTTTAATGGAGCAGGGGTTGTTCACTTTATGATCAGAAGATGACGAGTCTTCAATGTCCACTCCATTGACTTCACCTTTGACCCCATCGCCTTCTCCTCCTTGCTCTTTCAGTTCAATGTCCCGTTCCCCGTTCAGCTTGATGTCCTCCTCTTTGCCTCCATCCAAACCATTGTGCTTGTGGTCCACTGCATTTGCCTTTGGTATTCTGTCTCCAGTGGGGGCCCGAGTTCTCTTCTTGGCAATTTGGTAGATTCGGATGTAGACCAGGACCATAATGATGCAGGGCAAGAAAAAGGAGCCAATGCAGGAGGAGATGACATACCACTCGTCATCATTGATGGTACACACGGGGTGCTCTTTGTTCTTCTCCTTCTTCATGGTGATCAGGGGTGGGAATGAGATCACAGCTGCAATCACCCATACAATGAAGATGATGCACTTAATGCGGCGAGGGGTCCTCTTTAGGTTGTACTCAATGGCTTGCGTGATGGACCAGTAGCGGTCCAGGCTGATAGCACAGAGGTGGGCAATGGAGGCGGTGCAGAACAGAACATCAAGTGCAAGGTAAATCTCACACCAGATCTCCCCAAAGTACCAATATCCCATCAGCTCATTGGCTAATGAGAAGGGCATGACCAGCGTGGCCACTAAGATATCTGCAGAGGCCAGAGACACCAAGAAAAGGTTCTGAGGAGCCCTGAGGGCTCTGCTTGTGAACACTGCTATCACCACCAGCACGTTTCCAAACACTATCAGAAGGATCATGAAGCTCACCAGGACCGTCAGCAGAACGGACGTCTGCACACTGAACGGCGCCCAGGACATGGTCCCGTTGGTGTCATTGTCAAACCCCATGGAGACAGATGTGAGTTCACACGAGGATACACAGAACCCTCCGGTCAGGGCAGAGAGCTAGTGCCTCACAGTGGGGCTTCGAAACCACGGAAATGGAAAATAACGACTCCTCTCGAGCTTTTTCTCTTTCATAATGAATAATCTCATTGTATCAGTGAAGAGACTGTGGCATCATCTGGAATTAAAAGGCAACAATGAAACTAAAATTAGCTAAACGAATCAAAGTATTATAGGAACAATTATATACTCTGCTGAAGATAAATATGTAAATAACTTACCAAATACACAGAGCTGCAAAGAATTATAACCAAAAATGCCCGGTGCGCAACTTCTTTACGCAGTTCAGAATGACACGGACAGAATCCATGGAGCCTTTTCCTTTAGTCTCTGTCGCCTCTGTCCACAGGCGCACGCACAGGTCCGTGTGTTGTGTTCACCAGCAGACTAATAGAGCGCTAATCGTGTTATCCTGGGCGCTGCCGTGCTGCTGTCTGCGCGAGGAGTCTCTCCCTCAGTGTTAACCAGAGCGCCACTCCCTCACTTTATAACGCGCACACACCGGCTCCTACTAACTACAGTGTAGAGAGCAAAGGCAGCGTGTGTCTCAAAGACTGAGAGCATATGACATTAGACATCAGCTTAAGTAGAATAAACTGTTTTTTATAACAGTCTGAAACAGTTGGTCACGTTTACGCACGGAGCGTATCACATACACATTCTCCACAGGTGAAAGTCGCGGTTTACGATCACTTTCACTAAACCACTATCATGTTTGCTTCAAAATAATTTGTATAACTGACATTAACTTAATATAGTATGTTATTAAGATTACAAGGGACGGGTATTGCTATCAAAAGCGCATCAAACCATTGGTCATTACGCAGGCACTAGCCTAGAAATCCAGCTATGGCTGGTAACAGTAACCACATAAGATTATAACAGCATTCAACGTACCCGCTATGGACCTTCACTCTTCACTTTTCTTTTTGTTTTTTGAGCTCAGCGGGTAGAAGGGCCATTTTTCCGTGAGAGAAGAATTATGAATGCTCTTGGATTTTGGCCCTGTATTCTTAACTCGCACCATCTGTCGAAACAAATTTTGTCATCTTGGATTTTTCAATTTTATCTGGCATTTTGTATTGACTTCACACATTTACTAGGCATTTACTTTTGTTTGCCTTCAGCTATGATGTCTGTGTAAGAGATTACAGCATTCACAGCAGCGTATGCCCTTGATCATTTTCTTCTTACTGAAAGAAGCAGTTTACACAGAGCGTCATAGTCTACTTGTGGAAACAGTGTTTAAATGAGGAGGCTCATTTACTTTTGTACAAAGTATCTTTATTACTTTGCACACAGTGGACTGTATAAACAAAGTGTAAACATATAAGATGTCCATACTCAATTATTTGGTTGACCTGGTGGTACATGTCAGCTGTAAAAGATAAATATTTACCTAACTAACACATTTATGGCATAGTGTAAAGATGTTACGCTGACATGCTGTAAAAGCATCTGTCATAAGTCTGTTCTTACTCCCTATAGGCCTACTGATGGCACCTTATCTTTCTCTCACCAAAATATATATATTTAACCATTCTTTCAAATATCTGCTCATATATAGGCCTCAAAACTTGACAAGCTTAATAAGTTTTGATCAAAATTAAAATAAATGGGAGCTCAGGCAATATGTACTGTCTTATTACAGAATAATGCAATGTAGATCCATTGGAGCAAATGCCCCATGGAAAAATAACTGCAAAGTGTTAACCATGTGATGACTATAGTCCGAGGTGAAGTGCACACCTAATGTGTGCACCTAATGTGTGCAATTCCTAAATGTTCTCAGTTTTTGTATGACTCATAGTTGCTCAGCTTCAGAAGATTAAAGCGATTAAATATTTAAAATCATCTGAACAAATACTGTTCATGGAGGTCTCTGCAATTCACCATTCACAGATGACCTGGCAGATGCCCTTCCTGTTACCACAAGCCACATGACTGTGTCTGGAGCAAAGCAGTTGAAATGTGGAATGGGGTGAACATTGCGCAAAACCTGAGCCAGCTATTTCGAGGTTAGAAGGTGAAAGCTTACCCCACTCCTGCCCACTTGCAAACATTGTTATCATGCGACATTATAAAACCCTCAAGTCTATCTTACATCTTGGTGTAATCTGTAATTCCATGAGTAGTCCCTGTTAGAAAATGTTTCAAACGGAGAATAACCCTGACCAACAAAACAAGTCAAGTGCCAGGGTATAGGGCAGAAATAAATACACCCCTTAGACCAGTATGAATAGCTTCTCAGACCAGTACAGCATGAAAATTACTTTGGGATGGAAGTGAAAATGTCTCAATTTCAACAACACTGTCCAGAGGACTATCTTTGAAACTTTTTCTGTTATCAATCTCCCATCCTTAATGCCACTGATGATGGCTTTGGCTTCATTTTATCAAAGATATTTGTTGTTCTATCAAGGGAGCCATCATTTCCCAGAGCTGGAGCGCAGTGCTGCCTCTGATTCACAGTTACAGCTATCTCAGAAACAGTGTGTTTGGTTTTGTGGTTTCACATTTGAATTCAGTCTCTGGGAAGATGGCTGCCCTTGGAGGATGGAGGAGGAGGATGAAATTCCTGGGGAAGTGTGGGAGGACACAAAGTTCTGCTGCACAGTCTTCCTCGCATTCTACTCCTCATCCTCATCCTGTGTGGTCATATTGTAAAACAGCATCATTGAAATCTGTACTCTAGTTCTGACAGTGCTTTTGTGCAGCAGTGCTTCTATCCTGTGTCTGTTGCCTACTGTTCTTCTGCATTGATTTGCATTAATCAAGAAGACAAAGTAGACTAATCTCTGATCCAGTACAAATGCCTGAGACTTTTGTGAACAGAGGAGGAAAGCGGTGACATTTTCAACAAATTATGAAAACCATTACAAGTCAAATAAAATATTCTTGGAGGATATTATACTGTTTGGAACCTTATGGTTAAGTTAAGATACTTTCTATTTTCTGTTACTGAAATACAAATAGACCAAATGATTGGTGAGCCCGGCTGGTGTTTTATTATGGCCTTAAATTTTCCTGGCCTGGTAGACCTATGTAGACTATTACATGCATGGACTATAAATGCTGTATGGTACACAGCTAACAACGCCTCTCCTGTAGTGTCTGTGTGTCCTTTAGGTGCCCTTAGTGTCAACAGGACTTTCACCCATGTGCTGACGTCACACGCACTCACCTGTTGCCCAGGAGACCGTAGTCCATTTTTCTGTCGTATGGCACAAATGCAATAGACCTACATAATAATACAAGGCTAATGTAATTGTACCATTGTTACACGTGTGGTTGTAACAGCCAATATGAGTTCTGTTCTCTTTACCCACTGCGCCAGCCCGAACACGGAGCCGGCCTGTCCTGTCTGTTCCTCCTGGTTGGCAAAATACCACTCGTACAGAAGCTCAGAGAGTGTTTTAGGTAAACACCTTTAGATCGACGTGGCGCTCATTGATGCGTGAGGACGCACACAACGCGCATGGATACAGTGACACCTGTCGTTTGTCTCGTCCCAGTTTCACGCACCACACTCAGGCTTTAGTATAGACCTACACAGGAAAAAACATTACAAAGTCTGCAGGCCCAGGTTCAACATCCAAATAAGAAAGCAAAGTGAAGAAATAAAATAAATAAATAAATAAATAAATAATAATAATAAAAAAATAAAACATAGCCTATGGTCTCACAATAATGGGTTCATATTGATCCCTTGGGTTCAAGAATATTTATATTTGTAACATGTCTAGACAAGTTCTTAAATTCTAGGCCTATTCCCACATTAACAAAATTACAGTAACCAAATTGGGGGTTAATTTAGACAAAGAAATTATTATTATTATTATTATTATTATTATTATTATTATTATTATTATTAATATGACATCGCCTATGCACATTATTTTGAAGACTATTACTATGGACAGTTTTAATTCTTTTTAATTGTATTCATGGTGCCACTTGTGTTCAACATAAATCCGGTCACAGCAGATGTTTAATTAGGCCTATCTTCTATTTTCTGATTACTTTTTCTCTAAACTATGCAGAAAGCTCGGTACATGCTTGAACATGACAAAATACCCCACATATAGGCCTAATCGAAAGAGAGGTGTAATAAACTAAATCACCAGGTGGGGTCAGTGTTAGACAGGGCACAGCTGCTGACCACACTACTCACGCTACAATAGATGTCTTGTATAATTGTTTTATATCGCATTTTATTTATTACAGTGACCTTTCGCATCACGCATCAGGTCTTAAGCTTTGGTCTCAATGAATGAAAAAAAAAAAGAAAAAAGCAAGGAACCTACTCAGTGTGAACAAAACAATTTGCACATAAACTAAATTATTTTCTGTAAATTGTTAGCCAAATACAGGGTTTGATAGACCTGCCAAGTCTTGGTCACATTTTTAAAATATATTCTATTTTTAATTTTTTTATCTCCAAATGTAATATCTGTGAATGCCCTGTCTGTGCTGAAGAACAATAGGAGTCAGATTTAGTGGAATTCCCCTTTAATGCCAAAGACAAGTGAGAGCACTTGATAGCATAATGGCATCGTCCTCCATTGCACTCTGTATTCTTTGTAAAACTCTAATCACATTACAGATTTTAATACTGAGCCTACTGAAACATCAGATCACTGTATACAGAGAAGAAGGAAAATGACAAAAAGAAAATCCGACCCAAAATTACATTGTTACAACCAATTGCTTGTCATCAAGTACAGTCAGTGGCCATAGACACAAGGAATAGCCAAAAAAACACATAAAAGAGCATTAAGGCTGCTTGTCAATGTTGATAAGTAGAAGAAGCATGGACACCTTTCTCTGTGTACAAAAAGGGAGATACTTTGCAGAAACACTAAATAACCATCTGATTCAAGTCCACTGTGAACCACTTTATCCGCTCACCCAGTTAAATGCTTTCAACATGAGCCTGTACATATGAAGAGACAATGTACTTCAAAGGCAAAACGCCAAAATAAGCTGTGTTCTTTGTGGTCCGAAATAACAAAACTATATAAACACCAATCATACTGCAATAAGATTAAAATATTTTCAGCTGGCGGCAATTTCCATGGAGCCCAAAGCAAACTTAACTACATTCATGATCTGATAAATGAGTGCTCAGCCCAACGGTATGCTCCCATAAACCTGTGCTGTATAGTACTACCGTCATTCACAACACATGATACAGATATGTCTGATGAGCCCCTACTAAAGCACATCTCACTCAGGTCAAGTCACTGAAGGCATTTCCACACAAAGTAAACAGACGAGGAATGCAATGCCCCCAGTTTGCTGAGCATGAACACAGAAAGCCCTTTTTACATCGTATTGACAGTCTTGTACTGTGACTGCGTTGAGCTCATATGTGCACCTTGTTATGAAGTCTGATTTAATCTGGGTCAGAGCTGCTGCAAACCTGGACTAGAGTCAAAGGATCAGTCCAGCATCAGGATGTGGGGGTGGTCTGCATGGGAAAAGATGGCGCCCCGTGTGGTAGAGATCAGAACATCCTGAAGGAACAAAGCCCACCGCACCACTGCTAGAGGAGAGCCACACTTCTCAACACAAGACTGAGGAAGTAGAATATATGGTCAGGAAAATAACATTGGATTGGCTCGTTAATGCACAGCCTGTTCACATAATACTAAGAGAAAAATGTGATTTTGCATTAAGAAAAAGAACACTTTCCCTCAAAAACAAAAAACAAAACTAAACAATGGCTTGAATTGTAAGTGGCTATTCAGCACACAGAGAAGCCAGGTATGTAAATCAAATATGCGCTACAAAAAAAAAAGTAAAATTATTTTATGTTAGAGCAAACCCTTTTAAGACTGTCATCACCTGACCCTGCTAACTCAATACATTGACAAAATTACACAAAAAAAGAAAAAAGTTCTAAATCAAATACTGAAATGAAAAATGCCCCGTTTAAAAAAAATCTTGTGAGGCCACTCTATTTTAATATGGAGAAGATGCCAATGTTTTCAAAAGTGCACAAGAGCAGCAGCATTGCTGGGACAGTGTGGGATAACAGAATTGTTCAAATTAATCTTTTACCGTATAAAAAAAAAAAAAAAAAGCCTTAAAGTAATAACGAGGTGTGGAGAAGGAGTTACCTGCCAATGTTTTATTATTAAACCTTTTTGAAGCTTTGATACACTCAGCAATTGTCCAGAGACTGAACCCCTTAAAACGCTTGATATGTGGATCAGTGACCAAAAGGATGACAGCTGTGCAGCCCAACACTGAAGAGAATATCAAACAAGTAAACAAACTAAAATTGCACTCAAGGCAACAACCAAGATTGGTACATAAAAAAACATAATTTATCCCATTACCTGCATATGCTGGACTTTTTCAATACCTTTTTGTCACATACAAAGCAGTGGAGATAGTGGGTCATTACACCACCATCTTCAACAAAGTCCATCCTGCTTTTTTAAGCACGTGTGATTGGCATTTCTCATATGTATACATTGCGAGCATGTTTAACAACTACTGCTGCTATTTGTCAAAAAACGATATTCAATCATTCTATTTTACAACTGATATCATTGAACAAATCAATGAGACAGAAAAAATACAAGTAAAAACAGCAGGATTAAAAAAAAATACTGAAATAATTTATATATTTGTTTTTGTATGGACAATTTGCTTCGAAATGAACCACAGGTCCACTCTAAACATAGGCACATTATTTAAAAAATGTAAAAATAATGTACAAAACCTAAAAAGGAACTGGTATCATTAGACCTTTGTTCTCTATGGTCCAGACACAGAGAGCCCGATAGAGAAACATGACAACATGTAAAAAGGGCATTTCAAAATAAAAGGAAACACAAGGACAGTCGTATAGTTACAGTTATGGCAGCAGCAGGAAATGTGACGCTCAAAGACTGGTCTGTCTCTGCATACAGTTGTATCCTTGCTCTCGTCATAGATGCTGTAAGTACTGTAAATACATTGGCAATGGGAGCACATTTTATATGGTCACAAAGACTTTTGCCACTCAGCTCACAGTAACTCAATATATAGAAATTTATATATCTTCAGTTTTGGCAAAGAAATGGAAATAGTTTCCTTTATACGGAATGCAACATGAGTGGGACGTGGCCGAGGTCCAGTCGGGTCCATGATAGACTCTGGAGCACAAAGTCTCCACATTTTGGCTGCTCCTCTCCAGCCCAAATCAGCTGCCCCCTGCTGGTCCTGTTCTGTCTTTACAGTGCATCATACAGGACTGGGGGCGGCCAGGCCGCAGCGCAGAGCATATTGGGTCAGAAAAGCAAAACAAAGATATGTTCAAACCATGGCACGATATGGACCCTGCATCTTGAGGAACTGGATGATGAAGGAGGGTCCTCCTGCGACGATCTGCGGTGGCAGGTGGCTGAGCGGACAGTTCTCGATGCTCATGATGGTCAGTTTACTGCACAGGGCCAGCTCAAACGGTAGGCTGTGCAGGTTGGGGTTATCGTTTAGGTACAGCTCCTCCAGGTTCTCCAGTGTTCCTGAAAATACACACCAGGTAATAGATTCAAGTTGTCATGTAGAAATTTATCAGAACTTTTTATAATCATCAAATTTCAAAGCGATGGAACATGGAGATTAATAATAAATGCCGCTGCGGCAATAATAGTATCTTACCACCACAAAGTGTGGAGTGAATGAATAATATACTGTCAAGTGCTTTGGGTGTCTTGAAAAGTGCTATATATAAATCCAATGCATTATTATTATTATGTTTATAAAAGGTTCAGGAGTTCAAAGGTGCAGACCTTCACTTGGCCCCCTCAAAGTGACAACTCACAAGTATAATTGAAAACTGTACCCAGTGCGAATACTCTATAAATACACCCCCTTTAGCTGCTTTTGCACCCTTTTAATCTCTAGCTTAACTCTTAGCCTGGGCAGTAACCAGACTACCAAAGGGAGGGGGCTGAGCTACCTTTTCTATGGACATAGAGGTAGAGGACATATGTGTGGAGCTCTCACCAATCTCCTCAGGCAGGTGCTGCAGCAAGTTCTCCCCCAGGCCCAGGTGTGTCAGGTTGGTAAGATGCCCAATGCCTCTGGGTAATGTGGTCAGCTGGTTATTGGTCAAAACCAATTTCTAGAAAAGAAATTGACCATTGGTCATATAAAAAGGTTCTTACTTACTATTACACACCACATTTTAGTAAAACTCACATGTAAATCTTTGAGATAAGCAATTTCATTGGGCAAAGACTCCAACTTGTTTTCCTCCAAGTCAAGCTCCCGGAGCTTTCTCAGGTTCCCAATACCATGTGGTAGCTTCTTGAGGAGATTGTTGGACAGTATTAAAACCTATGTAGATATAAAATAGCCATGAGTAACTTTAAAATCTGGTAATCCAAATATGGAAAGAATATTAACTGAAGTAGTGGTAGGATGGGCTGTGACACCAGTGATACAGTTTTGGCTGATTCACTCTGTACTGCCCCACACGACATGTGAGAGGGTCTGCTCACCTCCAGAGACACCAGCCCACACACATCCTCCGGGATCTTGGTCAGCTGATTAGTGGCCAGGTTAAGCTCCACCATGCTCGTCCATGTGCCAAAGTCCAGCGGCAGAGACGTTAGCTGGTTGTCCTAGGGACCACACACACCTCATTGTCATAATAAAGGATAACACTTCACACCTTGCCTAGTGGGTCATGGTTTGACAGGCTAAATATAAATCAATGCATTATTATTTTTGTTATCGCTGGAAAAAGCCCTTACCTTCATGTTCAGTTTGCTCAGCACTCGAGCCCTGGAGAAGATGCCAAATGGGATCTTGTTGATGCGGTTGTGCTCCATATTGAGAGAGTAAATGGTGGAGAACTGGGACGGCCCACCCACAGGATAGGACTGGAAGCAGTTCCTCGCTAGCGTCAGACTGGTCAGATTCACCAGGCTGGACAAGAGCCCCTTCAAGCACACAGTAACAAACATGAACATACCATAAAAACAGTGCGGACATGTATGTATTATTAGTATTTACTTACAGAGCATAAATCAGGCTAAGTTGAGGTAAACACTTAGAACATTTGGACATGCTTCCATCTACCTTTATATTTTATCACTCACACTCAAAGCATTTATTAATGTTTAAACCCAAGCAATCACCTGTGTGTGCTTACCTCGGGCAAAACTGAAATGTTATTATTTTCCAGGTTTAGTTCCTCCAGTTCTCGACATCTGGCTAATGATCTCGGGATTGCGGACAATCTATTATATCTCAGGCCTAAACGATTTAGGCTCGCAAGATTTCCTGCAACATAAACAAAACCTGAATGAGAACTGAGCTTTGATCTAAAAAGAGAAAGATGAATGCTGTTGTTGGTATTTGGTACCTATGGTCTCAGGTAGGTCCAGCAGTTCATTGTGCTGCAGGTCCAGGTTGGTGATTTGGGTGCAGTTCCCGATCTCTTTGGGGAGGTGCTCCAGCTGATTATGGGCCACGTCCAGAGTGATCAGGCTGCACAGCTCCCCTGGACACAGGCACGACTCAGTACATTACATCAAACAGTTAACAAAGGTCTGTCACATAACACAGAAAGGTAGTGTTCATTACACACAACAGGATCTGATAATATGCCACAGTAATGAAATCAAAGAGTCTCACCTATCTCAGCTGGCAGCTGCTTGATTTTGTTCTCGCGGATGCTGAGCATGGTGAGCTTGGACAAGTTACGGATGTCTTTCTCGACGGTGGTGATGCGGTTGAAGCGCAGGTAAAGCGTGGTGAGGGAGCTGAGGCGGTAGACCACGGCGGGGATTTCCCGCAGCTTGTTGTGGCGCAGGTCCAGCATGCGCAGCTTCTTCAGGGAGTCCAGGGACTCAGGCAGGCTGGTCAGAGAGTTCTCACTCAGGGCCAGAGTGACCAGGCCGGACAGGCAGCCCACCTCGGCCGGGAGACTCTGCAGCTTGTTGCTGTAGAGGTAGAGCTCGGCCAGCTGAGTCAGCTCTTTGATGGAGGTGGGCAGCATGTGGATGGAGCGTTTGGACAAGTCCAGCCTCATGGAGTTCTCCTCTCTGCACTTGTTGAGTTCTTTGATCACCTCAGCGTTGCTGGACTTTTTTCGCGTTCCTGGAGCCGGGTTGGGCCGTTTAATGGTGTTGTCGACAGAAAAAGCCACACCCGGTGGCGCACTGCTGGTGTCCTTCTTTCCTTCTCTGCCATCTTTCCCTTTGGTCTTGGATTCTTTGCCTCCGTCTTTCACTAATGCGGCCAGAGCCTTGCCCTCCTTCTCTCTGTCCTTTCCAGGACCTTTAGGGTCCTTCTCTTTAGATTCTTTTTCTTTGCCTAAAGTACTACTCATGTCGACGATGTGGGGTGTCCCACAGAGCTGCTCATGGGGTCTCTGTCCCGTCACTTATTCGGGACAAAACAGACACTAGTGGGAGACACCATCCTGGTGCAGGGCACACGATTGAGTTTATCCTTCGAGGCAATGCCTTTTTAGACACTTTTGAGACTTTGCTAAAATGCCATGGAAGAAAAAATCCTTTGAAGTGGCAGGACTGTGGCATCCATGGGCCACATGCTTCACAATCCAGGACCTGTGAGAGGAATTCTTTCAGGTTGCAAAGGGGCTTTTTAATCCTTTATAGAACTGCTGTTGGAAAAAAAAAAAAAAAAAAAAATTATATTCTGAATTTCACTACAGTATTGATGTGTTCATTCACTCAAGATGACGATTAAATTGTTTTGTGGTATATAGTGAATATCATGAACTAAGCTGTGCTGAAATTAATGTTGTTATTCAGTTTTTTAAGTGTGAGCATTTAATGTAAATAGGACTTCAGCCAGCTCCAATAGTTATTAAACAACCAAATAACCTTTGACAGGGCTGTTGCAAAACCTGATAATACATGATAATACCTGCACTTAATGCTACATGAGTATGGAACGATTGTTCTGAGTTCATCAAGACAAAAATGTCTCATAACTGCAAGTGTGATTTGTGTTAAAACACAGACACATAAAAAGAATATCAAGTCAAACTAACACTAACTCACTCAACTAAACAAACATGGGGCTATGGTGTTGACGTTACTGGGAGCCAACAGCCGCACCTTCACATGCGGCTGCTCTGTCTGGCCCAGGATCAGAGCGCAGAGAAAGGTTAGGAGTGCTGCGAGGAATCTGCAGAGGTGGCCTTCAAAGCCCAACAGCACCAGGTCATGTGACCTTTGGAAGAGACGCTCTGGGTCAATAGCAACCCCCCTTCCATTTAAAGGCACCACACTTTTGCAAATAACAAAGTGTTTCCCTCACCGCCTTCCCCAGATGCAGGCCTAGGTGAAGATATTTATTAACAGAAATGAGAAGAGCCAGGCCAGTCAAACCACAGGGGCCACATAAACTAAACTGTGCGACTAACTTCCTTTTACGGTTGCACTGTGTGTGTCCCAGCCGGGCACCGGCCTGAGCATGAACAGCTACAGAAATTTCATCTTTCCCTCATTTGACACAAGAAAGGCAGCAGTTATCTTATACTATAACTTTCTAATTCACTTCACCTTACCATGTACAGGCCAGACCAAAGCTCTTTGTGTTTTTGTGATAACATGACACAACTCTCGAGTCAATTGCAGGAGTCGACTCAAACCAAGAGCCACTTATTTCCCACAAATGTCTAATGAAGTTACATTAAGATAATCCAGGGTTCATCTGATAGTGTGCTGCTTTGGCCCAAGACAAACTGTTTCCTGCATTTGTTTTCCAATCAGAATGCCTCTTACAGAAATGCATTAATGGTGGCTAATCAGATCATACACAATACTGATAATAAAGCAAAGTAAACACAAAATATCTTATTTGTCAGCTGTTTCTGTTTAATATCATGTACCAAAACAACCATTTTAAATCAGTGCATTTTATATTGACTAAAGAGATTCTCACAGTCAATAATAACTGTGGATTAAGCAGAAAACAACAGGGCTGAGATGGCAGGACGCTGCTAGCTTGGAGGCTACATGAGCTAGAGACAAATCCTTGGAAACAGATTACTGATGAAACAGTACAGGTCAGGAAAGTCAATACTTTCCTGTCCTGGAGATTATTTGATTTACTGTTACATAATATGACCACCATATGATCATGTCATTGTTGGGACTACCACAAGAGCAGAGGTACAAGTCATAACATGCCAGTGGCCAACGCTCATCAGAAATGGGACGAGTAACCATCAATGCAATGAACAGAAAAAGTAGATATCCCAAACTTTTGTGTGGCAAATGTCCTGTAACTGGCATGATACAGTGAATGGGTATGGTCGAAATGAGTAAACACAACATCTTCCGCTTGCACACACGCAAGGGGACTATATACTACTCACTATATACTATATTTTACATGCAGTGCAACTCCAATCAAATCAAGCATTTCTTGTTTCCGTTCCCAACACTGTATACAAATGTATAAAAGTTGGGAAATCAAACCTGAAAGTATCCCAGATGTGAGGACTGGTGTAAGTTAGAACATTTTTGTCAAACCACACAAGCCAAGCCTGCCTCAGTACTGACAACAAGGCAGGAAATAGTGGGAGCTCAGCTAAACGTCAACAGCACAGCAAACGTCAGTAATGCCAAGCTGCTCAGAGCTAAAAGCTAATGCTAGCAGAGCCAACGCCATAGACATGTATAGGTCTACGGCTAATGCAGCTAACTGTCTTAGCAAATGCTCCTGCGAGTCAAACGTGAGACAGGACTCCAACCAAAAAATAACACATAGGAAACAGTGTCAATGTGTGCATATGCATGATTTTGTATACTGTTGCGTTTAGAGTTAGAAAACTTTCTAAAGTGTAGGCAAAGGCCCGATGAAAGCGACTTCACACCGAGCCGTCCTCCGTGAGTTTGACCGAGAGAGGAGATCGCTGCTGCGGTCAGCTGAGCGCTCATAGGCGCCTGTCGCTGGCGAAGAACCACTTGCTGTCAGGATCTCATCGAGCAAATATTTGACACATTACAAATGTAAAATTAACTTATGTTCTTGTGTTGGATGTAAGACGAAAAAATAAAACACATTGAAAAACAGCGGCCATTCCGAAGCTGAACAAAAGAGTGCGTTCGTTCTCTCCACCGAAAATTGACACTTTGAGGCTATACCCTTAATAATAACACACTGACAGCGTCGCTATCTCTCAAAGAATGCAAATCAATGTAGTTAGAGTGAGTAGGCCCGCTGTTGTTGTGATAATATAAGTGTTTTTACCTTCAGAGGTGTGACTCCGCCATCCTTGCTGCTTCCTCCTCTTTCCCTGCTCTGCTCCGCTCCCTCCCGCCCCTGTCACCAAACTGCGTCATTCACACGCCTCAGCGCTGATATCGCGAGACTACGAGGCCCATTCCTTTGGTCAAAATCCTGAACAGTTAATATAAATATATAGCCAATTTTTCAGGATCTAATTCTAAACACATTCTTTTCCTGCTTAGCCATAGAGAAAAGACACTGAATGTCCTTGGCTACGACCATACTCAGAAACTGTCACAAACTTTAATTTAACACTGTAATGCATACATTATATAGTACACAGCCAAATAAACCAGACAATCCGTATGAATATATACAACCGCAATATTGCTATGCTTCATTTCCTTTTACATTATTCTGATTGCATTTTTCCCACATAATATGACAAAATTGAGGATATGACAAAATTACAAACACATAAGCACAAATACAAAAAGGTCACATGGAAAAAGATGTCGTAAACACTTCATGAAATTATATTTTTTGTCAAATTAATTGTATGGACCCTGGGATGTTACTTACAAACACCACTAGATGTCGTAGCATACCAAAATAAAATAAAAAAACCTGATCACGTGACTCTCCCGGAACTGTTGTCTTGACAACTGTTGTAGCAAATCTTCGCAGAGGTTTGAGGTACTGTAGGATTAATATTTTACGTTTTGCATTCATTTATTTAACTCATACACATGATAAATTGTTTTACCTCACTAGAATTACTGCAAATAAGTCAACTGGAACGTGCGTATGTGCAGATTTAAGAAGAAATGCGCTAGCATGTTACCTTTTGTTAGGCACACATTCTTCGTTAGTTTTAGAAAGGTAAATTATCAAATTAAAGCTATAACTTACAGATTGATTGACTTCATTCGATATCCCAAAAATGTGTTTGTTAGGTATGATAATTATAGCGTTGAGAAAATAGTACTGGACATAGCCTGTTTTAACGATAGTGCCTGCAGAGGGGTGTTCTATCCAACATATGCATAACGCGTTATACCAACTGATTTATTACACATGACTTCTCTAAGCTCTGTAAAACTTGACAATTCTATCCGTCTCAACAGGGTGCCCAAAGTGCAACATGCCAGAAGTGAAGTCTATATTCAGAGAAGTGCTGCCTAAACAAGGTCTGGAGACATTGAAGACAATGGTCTGTTTGTGGAGCATTGAGAATTTTGCAAAAGCGTGCAGAATTGTCAGTGGAGCCACCCTTCTGTCCTTTTAGTCTATGCATCACTAAAACAGCTTCTAAATGACTATCCTTTATCTCACAGAGCATAATAAACTATACATTTATTAAATCTATTCCTTCATTTTTAATTGTGCAGGGCAGCTTTCCATGGAGGACGTCCCTACAATGGTGCTGTGTAAGCCAAAGCTACTCCCTCTGAAGTCTGTGACACTGGAGAAATTGGAGAAAATGCAGACCGAGGCTCAAGAGGCCATCAAACAGCAGGAAGTGGCACTGAAGGAGTAGAGTTAGTGATAACACAATGAAATCACATTTTTTGCAAAAAGTATGAATTCTAGGATTGGACAACTGTGTGGGCATCTTGATGTTTGTCAGTCACTGTAATTGTCCAAGGAATTTATAGTTGTACAGTACTGTGTATATAGGAAACAATGGATGTCCTCTGTGTTCTTATGTTATAACCCTTTATTATAAAGCTCTTGTCACAAACTTGTCATGGCTGTACAAACACTGCTTACTAGAAAACCAAAGGTGGCAGTGGAAACAAGAAAATACTGTGTATGAAAGTAACAACATGGAATGACTGACACTGAGAGGAGTGGCACTTTAAGGGCTAGCTTATGTAAATGTTTGCATTAAACAGCAGGTTATCAACTTTGCTATCAAAGTGCTTTTTTCTTCATACCACACCTTCATTTGGTAATGCATTCTTTTACAACAGGGAGAAAATGTGTGCCAAACCATTTCAAAAATATGCATGATGTAGAAAAGTAGCTTTATCCTCTTGGCACAATAAATTACACTTTAGCAGCTTTCAAGTTTAATAACTCCACCATCTCCCTCGCTGATGAACCTTTTTCTGCCTCTGAAAGAAATGTTTTTAAAAGTCAGGCTTTTTTTCCATTTTAAAATAAATTTGTTGTTTGCTGCATAATAATAATAATTTACCGAGAAGGACAGAGATCTCGTAGTCTCACATTAATAATCCCTTTACTCAAGCTTTTATCAACAAATTGTTCCAGGATGAAGTAAGCACGAGGAGCATCTATGTTTATTTCTGCTATGTCCATGTAAACTCTTTCATAGCCCTGTGAAAAGGAAAACAGTTAAACAGGTGTGTTGACAACTTGTCAACACACTGCAGTAACATATATGAACACTAAGGGGCAACATACCCTTCTAAGTTGGTCGACAGTAATTATGGTAGATTCACAGAGAGACTTCAGCAAATTAAGGACCATATCCAAAATCCTCTCTCCTTTTGATTCCAGCACCATTACAATTGCCTGTTAATGTCATAGATATGTTATAAAATCCTGGAAAAATAGTAAATTTGAAAGATGAAAAAATATTTTACCTCATAAACAAACTCATGATGAAAATGTGGAACCTCCAGATCTCGCAGACATCTCTCAGCCTCTTTCAGGTCCCCAGAAAGAATGAACTCTTTAAGAAGAAGGTTCATCTGAAGGGAATATTTACATTTTTTTATAACTTCTGAACACACAATATCAAGGCATTGCAAGCCACAGTGCTCTTCACCTCTCGAATGAGCTGCACGACTGGCCTCTGTCCCCCTCCAGTCCCCCACTGACTGTCAAGTCGGAGACCCCCTTTACTCATCTTGAGAAGGACAGCAGCTCTGTCCAACGCTGCTCTGGAGATCGCATCAGAAGGAAGAGTGAAGTCTTGTCTTAGCGACACGCAATCTCATGTTTACTTACATACAACAAACAATTGCTTTTGACAACATTATGATGTATTCTGGGAATCATATAAACAAACACACATTGCACATACAATTGGTATACCTTGTGTATTCACAGTCAACTTTGCCTTTGTAGCCATCAATGTAGCTCCTTGACAGTATTTTGTCATGGACAGCACGTGCAATGAATTGGCCCACCAACTGCAAAGAAACATAAAATAAACAAACCAATCAAAATATAACAATTATTAGAGATTAACATTTGGAATATTCACAACAGCTATGTGGTTTAGGGAATCCCAACAGCAATGAAAACAAGGCCATTAAAAGAAAGGAATATTGAAAAATATATTGCAGATTGAGCTACTATTAAAGCTACTATTACAAAGCTGAGTGTGCAGGGCAGAAATGACTGGAGCCATATTGACATGAGGTAGTGAGCTTTGGGGCTAGCTGTGCTGAGTTTGCACTTTGCCAGAACAATGACCAGAGTCTGTATCTGTTCAGGCTAAAAAGGGCTCATATGCACACCACACTGAACCTCTCTCACACAAAGACCCTTGAGATTGTGTTCCAATACTTTAAGGTTTAACAAAAATATTACAGAAAAATAATATAAGTGCAGAAATGTCACTTAATAAATTAGTTTGAAAGGTTACACAGCACATTATTCCCACTATTTAATCAGCTGTTTTTACATTTTTTAATTTAAATTATAAACCATATTCTACATATTACAATATATCAACAACTGCGATATTATTCAAATTCTAATCATATTCACAAACATTGATGTGAATGCTTGCTCAGCTCACCTGAGGGGCGCCGGGTGTGTCCAAGACCAAGTCGGGGAGCTCCTGCAGCAGTCTGTCAAAGGACCACTCCATGTCACTGTGAGTGAGCACCGGCCCGCACAGTTCGGCCAGCAGACGGGACGCTAGCTCTCGGTGACTGGCTTTAGCCTCGAGGGCCAGTGCCACAGTCAAGGGAGGCACCTCACTGCGCATGGGCCCAAGGTTCAGGTCAGCTAGCATCTCCTGAAACACACAGCTCTCGTGTTAGTTTGGGAAGCACAAATGCTGTGCCAGTGTTTTACCCCCAACATAGTACGTACAATTACTTCATTTGTGTCTCCGTGTTCAAAGTACTCTTGTACTATGGGTGTAAGTGTCTTCTCAAAGTCCCTTTCATCCAGCGGAGGTACCACAGTCTCATACACACAGTTTTCCTGTAAACACAGTAGACCAAATTTGTACCACATTTTGAATCTATTTGATCAATTAAACCATTTGAAAAACTTGGTCAGAAAATATTTAGTAATTGTATAAAGATTGTTCTTTTAATTTTTTCATTTACTCCGGGTAGTGGTCCAAATGTGCTAAATAAAGACACTTTGAAGAGAACTTGACAATGACATCCTCATAAGACATTTACCTGAGCTTCATCATAATTGGGGTCCTTCTCGTCCACTACAAAGGGCTCATACACCTCTCCTGATCTGCCCCATACTCCTTTGCCACCTGCTCCACCTGTGCACAAGGTACAGCAACAATAACTGATACTTGCCTTTGCAATGTTTACACTATTAAAAGTGATCTCATCTGGTTTAAAAATAATAATAATAATACATTTCCCTCTAATGAAGCTGTAAGTCAAAACTATCCGCTAATCCTGTGAAACTGTTAAATTTAGTGTTCAGCAGACACATGCTAATCTTCTTTGCACATATTACACAAACAAACAGCTGTTATGTCTGACAAGCACATCAACAGATCTTTAGGAGCTTTAAGTAGCACAGGCCCAAAGCAGCTTGTGGGATATTCCTTAAAACCATCAGAAGACATTCCATCTTTTTCATCCATAAGAGAGTCAAAATTGGATTTCATTTGAAAAGATGTGCATTGGCCTTTGTAGAGCTGGGAAGTATGAACTCTTAATACTGAAATATAAAATGGTCAGGTAAAACAACACAGTTCCATTGAAGTGGTACAATTTATGTAACCACTAAACAGACAAAAGGAGGGTTGCTACTCTTCATCTGCCACACATGGTGTTTGTAAGTCACAAAATGTATAATAATATACAATTTATTAACAGCCTAACTTTTGTTAAAAGCTTAAATTTTGTGAAAGCCATTTTTAAAAGATGAAAGGAGTAATCAGATCAAAGTTCAAACAATGCACATACCTTTCTTTGGTAGTCCTCTGCCCTTGCCCAGTCTGGACTTTCTGTCCAAAAGTTTGTTTTAGGACTTGTGGGGACAGTGTTAGTTCCTCTGATGATGTCCCCAGTATCACTGAGGGAGTCTCCTCGGCCAGAGTCCCGGGAGGAGTTCTTCCTCAGCTTCCTCTTAGCTTTGGCCTTGAGACGGGCCTCATGGATGCTGTTGCTTGAAGAGGAAATCCAGTTGCCATTGACCTCAACATTAAGGTTTTTGTTGGAGACTCCCCCATTGTCCTCATCTCCAGAGACAAAAGAGTCGCTCAGGTCATCAGCTTCTGAAGATGACAAAAAATTTTGTCTTATGTTCAATAGGTTGTACTTCTGTGAAGTACAGTACAATGGTGCTCAGAAGTCAGAACACATAACCCAAATGATACATGACAAAAACAAACAAAAAAACAAACAAAAAACACCCACTTCCGTATAAAAAGTACAACTGGAATGCACTGTTAATAGGTTATATTTCAGTAACAGCAACAGATACTCACCCACGGGGTTTGCGTTGAGCCAGGCCTGACAATCAGCTGCCATGATCACAACAATATACGTGCAAATAGAGGAGTAAAAGCAAACTTCCAAACTGAAACTGTAAAAATAAAAACGTTTATTGCAACGCAGGTTAAAACCATGCCCAGACAAGCCCTAAAGATCACTGAATGATGCCCCATCTCTTCCTCATTCAACCCAGTTGTGTTGATAAACAAAAGCTAGTGCGTTAGCCAAGAGGGATGCAAAGAGCTGCGTCAAAGGAAGAAATGTTATCTCAGCTGCAGAGTTCTTCCAAAATTAATAGACAAATTACATGATCTACGCTAATTATGACATATACGTATGATATATTCACTGCAGACTTACGATGTGAAAATGTACATTCAATTGTACAACGTTTCGTCGATATACGACTCTCTTAACATAGCAATGACGATCATTACACGTAAATAATTGCTGCAGTTAAAATGTGGAAACACAATGCACACATTACAGTCTCAATTAAGTCAAATTAAACCGTTGAGAATAAAGAATCAAAAACTTACCGTGTCTCCGAGCTTCAAAACTCTGATATGACGTTGTTTTTGTTGTATCTACCCAGTAACAAGAGCCCGTGCCTCCGTGTTTCTCTTTTACGATTGGCTAAAGAGCAAAGGGGGTTTAAAGAAAACAGCCAATAGAAAATCACTACGGGATTTTATTTTCTTCTGGCAAGTTCTGTGACGTAATGCTATGTAAAGTTCATGGAAATACTACCCCCTGTCGGTGACACACATAATTATAATTAACTAGACAGAAATTTGGTTAATTAAATAGGATTTCTATGATGACAACGAACTGGTCCCAAACACAAGGTTTAGGTTGCTGCTTCTTTTTATCTGTAAATAATTTTAGCATGTGGGTTCCATATGACATATAACGACACTGCAGATCTATATTAATATAAAATTCATGATAATGTTCAAACGAATAAACCCAAACACTATTATAAATGCTATGTCGTATAATTTCCTTTTCATATCTAGGGTGTAAAAAATTACTGCTGGTTGAGAAATAAGATTATTAAAATGCTATTTTACTTATGCTCACAATAAATACCTATATAAAAGTTGTAATACAAAAATACAACAACATTATGCATATATCTTTAAATGATATTTATTCAAAATATATTAAAAGTTTGTTACAGAATATCACTCTTTTCTTTGGTTTATTAGATTCACAGTTTACAGTCTAGTTGGCACACATGGTCCAGTTTTGAAGGTTTAAGGCATTTGACTGTATTTGACACTGAGCTTAATTTAATTCACAACAAATCAAAATAAAAAACAAATTGCACAACCATCTTACTGAAACTGAAAAATACCCATACATTAATCCCTGTCATATCCTGGCATTAAAACACAACATGTCACAAACCTGAGAAACTGGCCTCAGTTATTGAACTGAGAAGAACATTATTAGACCATGATACAACTCATTCAAGTTTTAAAGGCTGAATGTGTTAAATACTAATAATCATATAATGTCATTATTTTTGACATTCTCTTTACAAGGGGAAATGCTAATGTGCATTATTCAGGCTTGAAAGCTAAGGCAACTTAGCATTGGTGTTTCAAGTTTGTTTTCTGGCCTATTGTATATGGAAAACAAGCAAAAACAAATGTGTGCTCGTCAAAAGACAAAATCTTGCCTAAACGTGATTCAGTCCTTTAAAATAAAAGAATCTAAAATTTTATATTGAGAAATTGCATTATAAAAATTTACTTGTTAAAAGTTGTACAGTCTAGCATAATGTAGGACCATTTAACTTTAAATAAAGGAGCAAATTAATCACATTAAATTCACACATTACTGCTACAGCCTTAATTTCACCAATTGTGGGTTATTTACAAAATAGCAGACACAGTCAGCTCTGCAAAGCAGTGTCCATTTCATTCCAACTCTCAAGTCAGCGCTGAAATCCATTAGTCGCAGCTTCCATGGCACATTTCAACAATATCCATCTTCGCTCTGTCACTGTACACGGTGTACAGACTGTCTTCAATAGAAGATATGTGCTTCCTGCTGGTTTCACTGTGTGAGAGAAGTGCCACTAAACTGACCTAAAAGACTCTCTTCTGCCAGGTGTGACAGGTATTTCTGTAAAGGAGAATGATGCATCTGATAAGAAGTTATATATTTGATAAATTATTTACACTGTACAAAATGTCTCCAGTTATCATGGTAATAGAATCAAGTACAAGACACACTTGTTTGATAGATGGCACAAGTGTTCAAAACTTTGTTCCTGGAATGTAATCCATCAAATGCAGAACTGTAGGACTGCGGCTGTCAGCTGTGCTGCCAAGGATGAGAGAAACGCAAGCCGCAGTGGTGCTGACTGGTCAATAATCAGAAACCTAACACAGCTGCTCCTCACTGGAGTACACCACCAGGGTGGGGAGGCATGTGTACATTTTTAATTTGTATGTACGTAACAGTATTATTATAGTATGTAATTTTTATCTTATTTTGTTACCACCCTGTGTAATAAATGTTTATGTGTCTAATGATGATGAGACAAAGTTTAGTGGGGGCCACCAGGAGGCCTTTACAGTAACTCAGTGCTTTTCAGTAACTCACTGTTGTACATTGATTATAGTGCTGTTGAAACGTGAGTGTTTTGGGACAAACCTGGAGGTTTCTGTAATGCACCACACTGCGACAGTGTGCTGCTTTCGCCGTCTCCTCACTGGTGTAGAACAGACTACAGAGCTTACAGTAAAAACCAGCCTGTGGCACAATGAACTCCACTCCTGCTGTGCAAGGAGAAAGTGTCAGTTGCTGATCCAAATACAGTGCACTTCTGAAGTCCATTTTATGACATAGTCATTTAAAATGGGGAAAGGGAGATAAACATCACTCTAGAGTACAAATCATTTATGTCCTATCTACTAATATATCTACTGGGAAAATAAAAGTCAGAAGTGCCCAGTCGTCAAAGTTTCGGTTGTGTACTCAGAAACACATTCTGGTGCTATCACAGAGCAGAAATAGCCCTGCTGTCTGGGTTGTTGTGGCTTCCTGGACCAGCTCTTATGTAACTCTCTATCAGAGCTCCAGACCATGTGTGACTGTGTCATCCAGCACTAATGATAATATAAATACTCATCTCCCAGGAGTCCATTTCACAACCTGCTCATGGAAATAGGTCAGTGAGTGGCCGGGCATTTCCAGTCAATTAGAGCGCTAATGCCTCAGGTTGTCAGTATACTTATAGGGTGTCCACTTTATCTTAAGGCTAAAACCACAGACCACTCTCTTAACACTTGTGGACTTTATCCTGCCAAAAGAAAACCTGATCATTCTTAATCATTTCAATTTCCCAGCCACATAGTTCCAAGTTTAGTAAAAGCATCTAATATAACTCTTAATTATTATAGCTTGGGATGCAAGCCATCTCATTTTAATCAAGATTGAGATTCAGTCATTTCTAAGTGTCAAAGATCAGCTTAGGAGAGTTTGGAGAAACAAACAAATGACCTTTTGAGTTAAATGGCAAGTATTAAAAGTTTGCATTGTTTATTTTTGGAAAATGTATACTGAAAGCATTTTTTTGTTTTGTTTTAGATGAGACAAAATAAAATTGAATAAAAAAGTGAAATTAATTATTATTGATATTGATAATTTGTTTCGTCACATCACCCAGCCATAGCTATAGCTATATCTTACCTAAAGGAATACTATGTTCATTGACCGCCTTGTCTTGCTCACCAGATGGTAACAGGGCCTCAATATCTACAGAAAGAAATCAAAATGAATGAACAAAGAAATACACATATTTACACAAATACTGCACAATGCATATCTATTAAAATACCTTGTGGAATTTGAGCTCCATTGAGTATAGGTTCAGTTTCTTGCCCTTTGTCTTCCTCTGCATTAAGAACATGATTTTCTACTTCCCTTTGTATATCACCATATGTGGTGTCATTATCTTCTATCATGGCTTTGAACTGCCATTGAGAGTAATTTAAGTCTTTCATTGTTGATGTATGAAGTTTAGGTTCTTCAGGACTCACTGTACTTTTGTTACTTTCCATTTCATCCACTAAAAATGTTTTTGGTTCAACCTCTGCATTGGTCTTTTCTTCAGTACCAGCCTCTTTCACAGACCCTTGATCATCTGCAGATACATCATGCTGTTGTACTGCATGCACTGACTCCTTGTGTGGGGACTCCTCTAGCTCTGGAAGGTCTGGTTCAACAATGTCATCCTCTCCTCCAACTTCATCAACGGTCACCAGTTCCTCCATGTTTTTTGGATACCAACACTCTTCATCTGTGTCTTCAGTATTTTCAGCATTCCTCTCCTATAAAACATTTATATATTCTTAAAAGATCAACACAAATAAAGCTGATAAACTATGAAAGAACTACTAGTACTTACACATTCTATTTTTTCACAGTCATTGGTTTCATTCTGTGGAGTACTGTGTTGAGGTGTTGCAGATTTTTCTTTTGAATGTCGATCCTATAAAATAATTTACTTGAGTAACTCAAACAACGTACAAGGTACTGCAATACTGCTCAGTATTATTACTTACAGTCTGTTCCATAGTGTGTTCTTTACTGTGCCTCTCTGTGCTGCTGTGTTTCTTGGATGTCTTTTTGCTCCGCCCTCTCTCTGGTGAGCCTCTCTTGTCCTCTGCTCTTGGTGGCTCAGAGCTTGTGTCCAGCTCAGAGTGCCTGGGCCGGTGGTAATCAGCATCTCTTCTCTTGGACTTGGGGTCATGTCTTTGGTACGGTGGTCTGAGGGGCTTGTCTGTCTTGTACATTTGCTCCTTTGTGTAGTAGCTGTCCTCCACGTTCCTGTAAGACATTCTCTGTGGGTGCCAGTCCCGGGTTCCTCCACGCTCCTCAGCACACCTCAAGTTCATGTGGTCTGTAAGTTTCCGGTAGGATTTGCGACTATCTGTACCCCATCCATTTACCCTATCTTCATCTGGACAGCACTCATCCTGCCATGGGTCAACCCTCTCGTCCACTGTCCTCCGTGGCGGAAGGGAGGACCATTCCCAGGAGTTTCTGTTCAGTCCATTGGTGCCTCGCTCTGCGCCCCTGCAGACTCCCCCCTGGGAAGTCTCAGGGGTATCACAGGTGAAACCAGGGCTGTGGATGTGAGGACTTAGAGAGCGGCTGATGGGGCTGCGGGAGCGGGCCCTGTCAGATACGTAGCTGTTCCAACATTATCAACAAAAGCAGAAGTTACTAGTTTATCTAAACTAAACAAGTTTAAACAAATACCAAACTTATTCAAATTAGATTCTTACTGCTCATGTTCCTGTATCTCCTCTCGTTCTCTTTGAGAAGTGATGTCGTGGATGATTGTTTCAACATCTTTTCCTGGTTTCTGAATGAAACAACAGGGGTTAGTAATAGGCAAAAATATTTGAAAATACTGAGAATAAATCTTACTTTAAGTTGCAGCTCGTTGTATCTTTTGGACATTCTAATCAGCAGTTTCTGATTGTTGATCATAGCTGGGGTGAGCTGGTAGTACTGAACCATAGCCAGGGCGGCTTCAACATAAGCCATCTCCAGAAAGGCCTGAGAATAAAATAAACAATATAAAACATGGGTGTCAATTTAACATTAAAGCATCATTCAAGAATTGTAAGAAGAAAATATAAAAGGTACCTGATGGGTGGACCGCATGAGGATGTAATTGGTGACTTTCCCAAAGGGCAGTCCCAGGTTGATGACATCATTCTCAGTGCAGCTGCCTTCAGGGAGGTTACAAATGTGTACAACTCTCCCCGCAGCTCCCTTCCTGGGAGGAAAGGACTGAAAAAAAGGGCTTCATGTCACTGTATGTGAAACTGTTTTGTGAAGTATAACTACCGCACAATGGACAATTGTCCACAAGAACAAACATAAACATGTGGTTTAAAAGGCTGTTTTCTGGCCTTTTATAATGTTAAAATATAACTGGAGTTGTGTTTTGCTTCATTCACATATGTTTAACACACAAACACTGCATATTTAGACACTGTGATGTCATGTGGTATATAGGAAGTGCTCCACTGTATTTTAAAACTCCATACACATTTACTAGAATCATCACAAGAATAAATTATGAATAATATAGAACCTTTAAACAACAGATATATGAATGGTAATGCATAACCATACACTGCTATAAAGTTACTATTGTAAAAATGTAAAACATTAATAGGCACTACTGTTTTAACCACACCTACTATGTGTGTTATGTCCTACCATACTGATTACCATTGCCTAGCCACTATTTAATTCAGTGTCAAAATCCACAGTAAATTTAGCTTGTTAGATCATGGGCTCTTATATCTTCAACTATTGTGCTGATTGTGCAGTCCCCGCCTCTTTGCCTTGACCTGACAGACAGCCCCATGTGCAGCCAAGCGCAGAGCCAGGGTTTGTGCAGGGAATAACACACGCTTTACACTGGTGAAACTGTGAGCGCGTAAAGTGGAAGATGACACTGGTAAACAATGTCAAGGCTTATTATGATATCACCTACAATAATATCAGCCATTTGAATTAATTAGATTAGAAATGAGCCAGAGCAATGAAAAAATTATACTATTCTTAAATCCAACAGTTTTCAGTCCATACACAGTCCATATGAAGCAGCTAGATTGGTCAGCATCGGACACATTGAATGCTTTTGATTCAACAGTGATAATTCTCTAAACAGGTCAGCCAGGCCCCTGCCACACCAGAAAACAAGAAGGTCAGAGTAGGTTGCGCTCTATAAACAAGTCCAGTAATAGGCTGTTAATGTCCTGGTATATCACAAAGAACAAGTAATTCTTAAAGGAATTTTCAAGCTGAAATGTGTGTCTGTGTCTGCGAGTGCAGACCGTCTGACCACAGAACTATAACTGTCAGACATTGGATCAGCAGACAGTAGCAGTAACTTTTGGCTGCCACCACTGGCTCCAATCATCAGAGCAAACTAGTGCTTAGTAACTCCAAACACTGAAGCAATACTCACTAAAGCCTGATGGATTTGTTAATGAAGCTCTAAAAATACAATGTGTTTTAGGCAAGGCATAGAGAGACATTAACAGGAATCTCTTGTGAGGATGTTTGTTTATTTGTAACAAGTGGGATCCTTGTTCTCGGATATAAAGAGATGGTGACTGGTTTCACAGTATCTCCACACATTCCTTCATAAAAGTTAGCCTGCCAAATCTCCTGATCACTTACCAGTCTGAAACTCTACACTCTTAAACTGAGGTCCTGAGGTCTGCTCTGAGCAGCAGTGCCATAATCCTGCTTTTATCTCTGTGAGTGGTCCTTCAATAAGCAGCTCTACTGTAACTCCAGGCTCAAAGACACGGTGGACACGCAGGTCACATGTTGCGTGTCCATATGAAAGTGTCTTAGTTTACATTTAATCTGTTCAATCTAAGTATTCACAAGAAATTCTGTGTATAAGTCATTTAACCCCACTTTAAAAAACAATAAAAACACCTGTTCCAACAGGTGCCTCTTTAAAGCCACTAACATTAGCTCATTTAAAATGACTTGCATATTTCTCACGGAGACAATAAAACAGTAAATGAGCCTAGCAACTATTCTGTAAATAACAGCACTCTCCTGGAGGACTGGTTTTCCCATAAACAAGACATTTAAAATTACATTTAAAATTTGTTCATTTTTAAAGTTATATTTCAAGTTATCTGTCTACAACATTTTTTTAGCAACAAAGCTTGAAATGTATCTATATATAAATGGTAATTGGTCACATTTTTCTATAGCGCTTTTCCACCTTCAAGGCACTCAAAGTGCTTTACAACAAGGAACCACTCACCCATTCACACACACATTCACACACCAGTGTACGCAGACACTGTGAAAAGGTGGGTTAAGTGTCTTGCCCAAGGACACAACGACAGCATTCATCTGTGGGAGCTGGAATCACACCAGCCAACCTGTGGGTCAGTGGATCTGACCAGTCAACCTGTGATGTATATGTGGAGAGCTGGAATTGAACCGCCAACCTTCAGATTAGTGGACGAATGCTCTACCAACTGAGCTACTGCTGCCCGATATATATATAATATATTTTTATATATATATATATTATATATATAATATATATATATATAACAAATTAGTGTCACTCTAGTAGAGACCTTAAGAAATCAAAATAAGATAAATTAAGGTATACAGTATTATGAATACATTATAAATGTGAATTAGCCCACAATCAGTGTATGAATCCCCATCATCTATTTAACCTTAGAACAAGACAATGAGAGCCCATGTGGCCATCTGAGGCCTTGGACATGTACAAGCAGTTTTCCCAAAGCTCAGCCAACAAGCTTGGACAAGCACAATGACCATAGGTCAGTAAGGAACAAGTGTACTTTAACTGATTTAACAAATGTTACACGATTCATTCAGTCATCTGTTGAGGTCTTTGTATGTTCTTAGTCATAAATAACTGATAAAATTAAAACATTACAAAATAGACTCAATACACAGTGGACCATCATCTACATAACACACAGTTCTCACTTTTCAATAACAATGCTTCACACTTTCGAACCTGGGGCAGTGCATCAGCAGCTGTCAACAAGAGGCTCTGCCTTTCATTACACTGTAACACCTCTGCTCTTTCTGCTTTCACACTTTGTACATATAATACCTCCGAAGCTATTTCTGTGTGTGATCACCACACACGAATCCTCATAAATAATACTCTAAACTTACTGGCACAACACATAATAAAAATAATGATAAACAAGGTCAATTTTTAAATATGATCAGTTACACTAACATGTGCCCACTATTGATAATGGAACATTAACCTCACCTTTGGATCAAGCTGTAGAGGAGTGAAGCCAGTGTCTGAGAGAGGATACGTCTTCATGGTTGCAGCTGGTAGGAATGAAGAACTGCCCCCTGAGGATCCATCTGTGGAAACCATTTGAAACAGTTTGAGCATTGCAGAGTATAACTGTTTTTCAGATTTTTTGTACGATATTAAAATCAATAAATGAGGACAATACTGACAATTCGTTCTGTACCACTTCATATTTGTGTATTTAAGGCGGTGTCCTCAAATGACACAGCATTTTAAAGTACGCCTAAGTTCTACTGAAGAATCCATCTTAACTTTCAATTTAAAAGAGTGTTTCTCAGTGTTTCTTCCATACATTATTTCATGTTTCAATATGTAGTATCTAACATTGCTGCATAGCTTGCATGTTTCTTAAAATATTTCTAGAAATTCAACAGAAAGAGACTCAAAAGTATACGTGTCAGTATAAGTGCCTCTTACCTTGACCTGTGGTGGTATAGACCATAGAGTTAGTTTGTCCCAAGTTCACTGGTGCTTCCGAGGGTCTGCCGACAGCGTAGTGAACCCCTCCAGTCGATGCCACGGCCGAGCTGCAACAATCAGGGACGGACCATTTTAGCTACATCTCCCTGCCCACTCATATCTTATGACAGAGCTCAGATTCATATTGAGACTGCAGCGCATGAGGCAGGAAAAACAATGACAAAATGTACTTGAAATGAAGGTGTTTTGGAGAAGTGTATGATGAGAAAAGCAGGAGGGAGGATGCTGTGACCTCGCTCCAAGGTTGGCCATAAAAAATAAATTTAGACAGGGCAGAGTTGGGGGGCAGAGCAGGGTATGTCACTATGGTAATGTAAAGTTCGCAGTAGTTTAATGTGGGTGAAGGGATCTGGTTAAAAATGTATTGTTTTCACATAATGCAGCTTTAGATGAGATATGTGTGCGGCTGTGTTGACAGGGCTATCTGTTTTTAAACTTACAATAAGGACAGAGCTGCAGAGAAAATCTAGACTAATGTCTAATGTTTAATAACTTTTCAGAAACAGATTTGTCGTGGATGGTAGTTACCGCAAATGTGATTAGCCCCATCAGTCTTTTCAAAGTTTTATTATTGTTATGGAAAGTTTATCTTATTACGAAGTGTTTTTACTTTACTTACCTCTCACTGCTGTACTGAGTTTTGTTTTGGAGGTGCAGTTTTCCTTTCACGTGCTGCTCCCAGTCCTAGCAACACAGACACAATGGTTGTTTATATCTCTTATTTAATGAAAGAAGAGTTCTTCACTAAGCCAATAGACCTAATATCAACTCAAATTGCACTTGCTCATGTCAAAAATTCATAAATAAGTCTAAATACACAACATGCTGTAGCTGACACAAAGATAAATGATGCAAAAAATTTGACCAACTTTGACAACAACTTCTTTTTGTCTTTGACCAACTTTCCTTTCAGTGGCTCAATATTGCCACAGTATTGCGAGCTGCTGTAGTGTGTTTGGGCAAGAACAGTTTGTTTCATATGTGAGAGTATAGGTTTTGTTCAGGACGTTAGTTGATAGCTAAGGTCAATTAAAAATACAATCAATCAATTAACCTGCCCAGGAACTACAGGTGGAAATTAGTACTGGTTGTCACAGCCGCTACAACCTGGTACAATGAATCTCTCCTTTTAAGGTTAATGTAGATTGTGCACTGTCCCTGTCTCATTAAATAAATATAGAAGTAACTACAGTAATACTATATAATAATGTTGTTTTTACATCAGAATCCAAGCACTTCAAGCCAAAACAAAGGAGTATGGTTTAATTTCCAGAACATACAGAAAAATCCCAGATTTTTCTGTATGTTCTTGGGCTGCTCCTTCTCCTCCTACGTACCCATCTCTAGTAATTGATGTGCGAGGCTCTCATTCTTTTAATTTCCAGAACAGAAATTATATCCCCTGTACAAAAGGCTTAATCTAACTGAAAGAATGCACGGTCACTGACCTTGAGGTTGTAGACCTTCTTGTCACAGATGCTGCACTGATGTGGCAGCTGAGAGGGAGTGATGGCGTAATAATCGCTGACTTGATGCGGCTGAAGGATCTTGAGTTCTTCATTTCCATGTAGTGGCTGGTAGCCTCCAAATCCTTGTAGCCCACTGGAGTTAAACTTGGGGTCAGAGGTGGGCTCCTCTGGGTTGTACAGATCTGGTCGGGAGCAGAGTGGTTGTCCAGATGATGTCCACAGAGGGTTTGTGTTTGAGGCCTCACAGTTTCCTGTGTGACTGACTGAGCCTTTCCAGTGATCACTTTGCACTGCAGAGTTGTACACATTCTGCTCATTAAGGTTGAACCCAGCCTGTTGTCCTTTTATATCCTTACCATACAAGTCTCTACCTAAGTGTTTCACCTGAGTATTGACCAGAGAGTACTGCCTGTCTGTACTAGCTGTAGCAGATGTACCTCCAGTCATGTTGTATTGAGCCCGCCTGTCAGTATCAGATGGGTAAGCTGATCCTGTCTTTTTGCCATAGTCCATTGTCTGCTGCGCCCCTGTGCCCCCCCTTATGGGCTGGTTTGGATGTAGCGAGTTTGAACTTTGATAAAACACTCCACCAGCCAAAGCATTTAAGGTGGAATTGGAGGAAGGAAATCCAAGGACCCCAGTGGTGAAGGTGCTCTGAGGGTTTCCAACCATGGATGAAGTTCGTAGGTGATTAAACAAGGGCTGAGACATGGCCACACTGGAAAGGACCTGATTGAGGACGGCTGCTGAGGCTGGACTTCCCCCCTGAGCCAGCTTTAAGCGCTGGAGGGTGAGTTGTGCCTGTAGTTGTGCCAGTTGGAGGCTGGCTGGGGTCAGGAGCAGCTGACTCTGTGGTGGAGCTGTTGTTGGGACATTTCCTTGGAGCAGACCCTTTTTACTGGTGCTGTCCACAGGGCCGCTGCTGAGGCTGAAAAACAATGTAAGAATGGGTTATTACAAGATGCATCAACATTTTGGGCTCTATGCGAGCTCTAGTGTTAACGAGGGTGCGTGTCCAGTTTGGGCTGTAATTGGCTGCTGGGGGCTGAAGTGGGGCGGTACAGGCTGTGATGGCATCTGAACCAATCTGTGACCGATGTGGCATTTAAAATCACTGCCAGCATGGGTAATGTCTGCAATCTTTGCCTCATTACCAGGCAGCAAAGAGAGGTGTGGTAAAAAAAAGATATATGGGTACAGAAAACAGCTCCGGAGCCACACAATGTAAGTAAGCACCAGTAGAGGCGCCAGGGTTATAGAATTTTCGATGAGCCATGACAGAACTCACTGGGCCTGTGTTCTGTGCACAGGTGTGCCCCTCTCTCGCCTGTCCCAGGCCGACAGGTCCCATGTCTCTCACCTGAGGTGGAGTTTCCACTGCTGCTAGAGCTGACCGCTCACATTCTCCTCTCACAGGTTGTTGTCATAAATGTTTCTGATTTTACCGCTTGGATGGATTAGACCATTAAAACACGGGGAGGGTAAATCGACCTGCGCTTGTAGAAGGAGGTGCCGTGCCTAGAGCAGTACCCTGTAGACAGGGTAAAAAAAACACATTTTAGGATAGTGCTTTAACGGCCTTGTGTGAATAAGGAGTTTTTGTACAGATCAAGATCAAACCAAACTATAGAGCAGTGCTGTGCCGATAACTGGAGCGGGTGCAGGGATGTGCTCTGCTACGGAAGGGCATCTGGACACTGCATGAACATCCCGGGCAGCACACGAACATGTGAATTTCATGCATTTATCACATACCCCCAAAAAAGAAGGCAGTAATGTTTTTCAGTGGACTAGTTTGATATTTATTTTTAAGATTCTGGCAATTCACTGAACGTGCCACACCACACCCTCAGTCTGTCACACTCCACCTGATATTTTGGCATGGCACACCTCACAGTTGGAGCTCCATACCACATGCCTGCGCTTGCGCTAAAACCAGAGGCAAGATACAGCCTTTATGTTTGCAAATGAAGGCAAGAACAGCTTCATTGGTCACTATTTGTGAATGTATCTAGTGCTTTTGTAATGTATATTTGTAAATGTATTTATTGTAGCTTCCCATGCTATTTGAGACAACATATGGGCTCCTTAAGATCAACTCATTTCCTTTGACATCCTGGAGCACCCATTCTTTAGTGTGCACTTTGTGAATAGAGAGGCAAGAAAGGTTTTTCCTATAAAGCTCCATTTGATTGGAATAACCTTAGTGTAGAGTTGAGGACAATAATGTAATTTCAACACTTTAAAGCTGCTTTGTATACAAAGCTTATACCTGTACCTGTCATTAAGCTTTGACTACCAAGACTGGCTCTGTGGTCCATAGTCTTAAGGTTGAAATGTCATTGTGATTAAGTCTGTTTCGCTAATCATGTCCTTCTGATTCAGCTGTTTCATGGTGGGGATCTTGGGGGTGTGGGACAGAAGGATGAAGAGCAGGATGTCTTGTGATTGTATGGAATTATTTTGTATGTGATTGTAAGTAATCTGTTGTCTGTTGTCTCTTGTCATTGTCTATTGTGATTTGAAAAAGAGATGATGCATCTCAAGGGGCAATCCTTAATAAAATATCAAATAATGAAAAATAATATAGCCATAAAAATACAACCTTTATAATTTATGATTTTGAAAGAGTTTTGCAATGTTCAACTTTTGCAAACTAATTTCAAACACGTGGAGTTGTATTAAAAATAAATAAATAAAGTCAATTAGTAACACACAAGTCTATGAAGACCACTGTAAGCAACCCCACAAAACAATGTAATATTAATTTAATTTAATCCAATATACAACATCCCATTATACTGACTGTACTTCATGAAAGAACATAAGCAAAACAACAAATCAAATAACATGAACTTATTACTTATAATTCATAAATTTTTATGAATTATCACTCACAAAGTAAAAGCCACAACAGGGAACTGGCCTCTGTTTTGTTGCATTTGCAGACACTTTCTGTGGACAAGCCCGGTGACGGAGAGATACACTTACACCATTCCAGCGTGTGACTCAAAGCTATAAATACAAACGCTGCCCAGAGCTTTCACGACACGCTCTGTCCTTAACTAATATGGCTGCTGCAGCTGGCACAGCGGAGCAGGCACTTCAGCCCATCATGTGACACATCAAATATGAACAACCAGGTGTGAAAGTTCAGGGTTCTGTCCAGTAATGTAACATGTATGAAAATGAGAGATGTTAGATTATCAATCCTTCCTTTTACAATCTTACATCAAATAAAAGTTGTTTGGTGGAAATGTAGTTGCAGAATTAAAGTATTGTATGTGTTCCATATTCACCAGTCTTAACATACCAAGGCACAATAGTTTAAAGAAAACAAGTTTGTATTAAAATAATAACCTAAATATTCGTAATAAAACTAAAATGACCGGTATATGAAAATATTTAATTACATGTATAATGAATGACATAATACATTCAGCGTTCAGACACCAATGATGGATGTGCTCTCGTAGTCAAAACAAAAGGACACATGGGTCCAGTTGACTGTGTCTCAAGAGGAAAACATGTTAAAGGACAAATTACAGCCCATGACTTTAAAATGGTGTAAATATATAACATGCATGCATACAAACATACACAGTCTTCTTATCCTACATTGAAACAAGACCAACATTACCCCTCTGGTTGGACCCCATGCTGCAGGCTGTATAAGGCAGGTACATGGCACAGTAACCAGACAGACCTTCAGTGGGCGTCCGGCCGAAACCCCGAGGCTCCACACTCTGACCTCTGTCCGGCATCTGAGCATGACCTGCCACTAACGCAGCACATACATCCACACGCACCTCACCAGAGTGTTTATAAAGACACACCAGAGTCCAGACAGGAGCTGATACTAAAGAGCTGAATATACAAGAAACACTAAGAACTAGGGTTGTCAAATTCAAATCCAAAGCCACTTTATTTATATAGCACATTTTACAAACAAAGCTGTTTCCAAAGTACTGCACAGAGATCATAAAATGAAGACAACAAAAGGTAAACTGCTAAAAAATGTATCATACCAATCCTAAAACAATAAAACATAGTAAAAATCATAAAATAGCAATAAATGAGTAAAATAAAAAAGACAGAGAACCACATAACTCATGTGGTGTTCAAAACAAGAGAATAAAAGTGGGTCTTAAGATAAGACTTAAAACACTCCACCATGTTTGTCAAAAGTATTGTAAGTACAATAATATAATAATAATAATACAAGGTTAAATTGGTCTCTCATGACTAATCTTATATTATCTGTGTTGAAAATGCAATTGTAAAATATTATTTGTAACAATCATTACTGTCTTTTTATTATCACTGTGGTATCAAAACTGAGTTTGAAATTATTAGAAATAAATGTATTGCATGTTATGGTTTAATGTAAAATGGGCAAGAATAGAAAGAACAAAGAAAATGCATTAAACACATGTTCTGTTCATATGTTCCAAAACATTCAATGCACAATGGTATTAGTTTAACAGATTATGGTCATCATGTGGATATTTTTCTGCGATTGGTAAATGTGTGAAAGTAACCTTGCTCAAAACATGGCAAACTAAACATATTACAATAATATACCACAGTACTATTTATTTAAGAACCAAAGAAAACTTCTCAGTTATCAGCAGCAATAATTTACTTTTCACAAATAAAACAAACAAAAAAATAATAATAACAATTTGTTAGATGTGTAGCATTTTAGTGATTAGATAACTGCTCTGAACGATTAAAGTCATATCAGTTGTGGAACAAAACTGTGAGGATGTTGCTGATCCACTAGGTGGTGCTATACACTGCGCAAGAGAGTTTAAAGGAATCACATGTCATTTGGAAGCTCTTAACAGGTTTTATAGTTAAATTAATGCAGTTGTCTTTTTTTCACAGAAAAGTGCCAGACTGTGTACATGCATCTGCTCACAACAAAGCAGGCAAACCAACCACATGTCCACCACTTCATACTGTCTCATACAGAGACAGAATCAGCTTTCACAAATGCAGTAGGAATGTTCACCAACATCCCAAGCCTTCCTTAAAATTTTTATCAAATTAAACTCTTGGTTGGAGTCCATAATGCTAACACACTGCTCCCTTCATGACAGAGGGGTGTGTGTGCAAGACAGCTTGGTGAACTTGCCTGCTCCACTTTTGGCACAGATGGTGTGGGGGACTTCTTGATTTATAGCACCTAGCAATGGCACAAGTATCCCCCACAGAAATGTGGGCTCTGACCTCTTACTACACACATTAAGACCCCCTGTCAAGTGATAGTCGACTTTGACTTACAGTGTCACTTTATGATGATGGATATAAAAAGGCGAAATTTATGCTAGGGATCAGCCTCAAGATTTTATGAGTCCATATCAAAAGATAAACTTAAGTTTGCGAGCTAAGAATAATCTGAAGTATCCAGCGTGGACACGTCTCATGTGAACCTTAAGTGCACATACTTGTTGTGAAGGCAGGTGTAAAGCACCCATTATGGCCCAAGTCAAAAAAAGAAAAAACATGTTGCCCTCCTCTTTCTCACACTGCAGAAGGTAGTGCTTGTGCATCATACACTCCTGTTCCAAACCATTAAGTGACCGAACACAGTGATTGGGGTCATTTAGTGACACAGAGGTCAGGGGGAGCTCTCTGTGTGACAGCTGCCTCCAACTGTAGCACTTAAAGAGCATTCCAACAAATGGGTCCCAATGCAGGAAAAGTGCAATTAGTCCTACAGGAGCTGACATGGTTTTAAATATGCGCACTCAAATCCCCCAGCATCTATCATTAGACTGCAGATTGTAGAACCAAAACTGTTGAGGGTTTTGTATGTCAACAATACATTCTCACACCCCTGTTTTCTGACACTTTATCAACATTGGCCTCTCTGTTGGGACCTATCGAGTGCCCAGTGGTCACTTCTGATGAAAAGAGTGCTGACAAGAGGCAAGTAAAAGTTACCTGAGGTCTGTTGACATTCAGTGTCAAACTGGGTGCTGAGAGCCGAGCGTTCAGAGCACTGTAGACACAGTGAGATCAGACGTGCAGTTGGCTCCAAAAGGACATCAGCAAATGAAGAATGACGACTGCACATGCTGCAGGGAAAGTCTCTCCTTACAGTGACCCTGGATCATGTTACAGTGAGTTTGACAAATAAACAAACATTCTAAGTCACTCAGACAGACAAATTACATGTGCATAGACCATATAGTCCAACATCCATCCAGGTTACAAAGAAGATTTGTCTACTGAGTCAGAGCAGTGGTTCATGGGATGTTTTCAGTTTTTTCTGTTTTTCTGGCATCACATATTTTTGTTTGTAAACTGCAGTATTAATCTAAAATTGTTTGATAACTGAAGTGTGTAAAGTCTTGTCCAAAACTTTATTACAGCTTTTCACCAAAGCAAAAAGCAGATTGTATACAACATTTTTGAACTGTACTTATATGACCTGGAGTCTATTTTTAAATAATTGCAAGTAACAAATACAGAGCCGTAAGCAGGATTACAACAAATGTGCAAAGGGAACATTTTTGAGCACTCAGGCTGCAAGTACAATACAGGATCTCTCAAACATGAAAAAATCCTTTCATTACAACACAAATGGGTTAAGGAAAACTATTATAGTTAAAATCTAAAAGTCAAATATTATTTATTTTAAAACCTTGTCAGTCTCAGTGGAGGCAGATCACACCATCACTGCGCTCGATGCTCAGTACAGTAAGGAATACATGTAACTAGAGTCTACCCCAACTGTGGTCAGCAACATCAGAGCTATATCTGTACACAGGGTGACGTGGAGATGAATCCTACAACCCCTCCTTTATGTGCTCCCCTCTTCCTTCTTTCCTTCATATCCCATTGCTCTGCGTTCTTACCTAACTCTCCATTGCACCTTCCCAAAGCTAGTATTGCACTTTGCCATCTGTCACTACACAGACATGCTCACAAATACCAATCACACCCAGTAAGTCGTCATTCCCCAAGGCAATATGACCAGCAGCAGCACTTCTCTGTCTTCACCCCAAAAGGTACATCGAAGGCTTGTAAAATAAAACTTTTTGGTGAAGTGGTGGTTTCAGACATATAATTTGAACTGTGTAAATGCACTGAGCTACAAAATGTTACAACAATGATAAAGGAGCTATGATAGCTACTAAGACTAATCAACTATATTACAATAATTATAATTATATTTTGATTATGATTATCTAGAATATACAGACTGCAGTCTTGATATCAGCATAATAAATGGCTTACTCTTGCCCAAAGTGATGAAAATGGCAGAGTTGTTACAGACAAGCAGATGGATGACAGCACTAGGACAGCAGCCAATCACACGTCACCATGCGCACAGTTAACGATGGGTCTGCCCAGTTGGCCAAACCCCTGACAGGGCCCTCTGTGGAGTCGCCAAAACAACCACAAACAACTGAAATAAGGTGGGCTTAGTCTCCACATGGTGCCAGGCACAATGCCAGCAAGTGCCCATGACAACCGCCCAGCAGACGGCAGTACAGGCATCATGTGGAGATGGCATATATTTACACAAGTAACATCAGAAAGCAAACATAAACCTGACACGTGTCAATGTGTTAAAGTCTTTATATGTCTAAAAGATTTGCACTATATACAGTTTCACAAGCAGAGTCACATCTGGGTGCACAAAAACCTGGCACCAATTCCAAAGGTCCTATATCCTGAACTCAAATATTAAAGATACACTATGTAACTTTTCTGATGGAGGGTCCGCCATTTGCTTTTTTCAGGAAAATATTATTATTTTGTTTATCTGTCTAGCTGCCTATCTACACATCTGTTTGGAGACAAGCTGGTGGTGCCAGCATGAGAAGGGTGAATTTGTAGAGAGGCAATCCTGCTCACAGTAAATTACATGTTTTTCAAGGTAGTTTTGAGCAAATAAATGCAACAGAGATATAATTAATGCACTGTGGAACAATCCTGGCACCACAATAGCAGCTTTACAAGTTAACATAAAAACATCTATGAAACATAATGACTTTTAAAAGCATGCTAAGCTTAACTTAGTTAAATAGTTTGGCAGCTGTATTTGTGGTTGTATGTGGAGCTCCTCGCAGCAGGGACCCAGGAAGCTCCTGTCTGTCCAAGCACTGATGAGTCCAGAACAGCTGTATGAATACAGCTGTCTACTGCACTGTGCCCTAACTGTTTCATTATGCTTTTAGGCAGTTAGTAAATATAAATATGCAAACTTATTTTAATCATCAATTGTTTTAGATTTTTGGTGAACTGTAGGTATATTAAAACTCAGTACACAATTAACAACCACCACAATTGTCAAAATAACAATCTTTTTTTTATGTTGCGTATATTTTAAATAATAGTTAAAATAATTAAATAATTTAAAACAAAACTTATGTAAAACAGTATACTATGGCTTTCACTTTAAATGCTAGCAGTTTAAACAAAACAAAGCTGACAAATTATTTAAGTTTTCTCCATGGAACCAAGCAGGTCCCACCTCTGCCCTCCCTTAGGTGCTATTGATTAGCAGAGCTGTTAACTGAAACAAAGCACTTGATCGGAGTCGTGACCTTGTGATGAAAGAAGTTTTAAAGCTGCTCCTTCATCACATGATCTATTCTGGGGTGTCATTAGCATGTGTGCTTTATAAAAAAAAAAAAAAAAAAAAACACTTGACATAGGAGTTAAATTTCTATACTACAAACATCACTGAGTCTTTCCTACACCATATAAGATGAATAAAATGAATTAGATGAACTATAGCATGAGAATCAGCATAACAAAAGGAGGTTGCTACACTGAAAAAATAGTCCTAGAGAGGTTGCTCAAATTGCAAAAACAAATTTAACAACAATAACATGACTTTTTTA